TTCTCTTTTTGACTCTGCACCGTCTGCGAGCCTTCACTCTCGACCTGCGCAATCTGGCTTAGCTTGGGTGCGCTGGCTCCATTTGCCAGGCTAATAACCACGGGAGGTGTAGCGGAGCCAGCAGGAGGCGCCACAGAGCTATTCGAATCTTTCCTGGCTAGACCGTTCTTTGGGTTCATCGAAGGCCTAGGAACGGGAGTCCCGCTCGGGCGAATTGGACTATGCGCGTGGAACGAGGGCCGTGTGATCGTGGGAGTCGATCTTTCTGCGCCAGTCGGGTTCGCAGGCGGTTGAGATGCTCCGCGTGCTTGTGTTCCGCTGTGGTTCGCCTGGTACTGAGGCGGAAGAACATGTTGAGTTGACTGTGTTTGAGAGGGCTCTTCGCTCAGCCCAGGGGGTCCCGGAGGGCGGAGGCCGATTTTTTTAAGCATATCTCGCAGGACTTCCACGATGTACTTCTCTTTTGGGAAACCAGGTGTATCGTCCGGAATCTGCCCCATGACTTTTTGCACCGCATTTTCGAGGCTCTCTAGACCATTTTCCTTGGGGGCTAGTTGCTCGGACAAAATCTTCTTGAAAGACGTGATAGCCTTCGACACCCGTTCGTCGACGGGAGCAGCGATGAGAGGCGCTACAGGAGGCGCCACAGCAGGCGCCAGTGCAGGAGCAGGAGCACTGGTACCGGGTTGGTTTTGCAGGGCTTGAGACTGAGCTTGAGGAGGCAATGGTTGCTTAATCGTCTGATACGGGGAGGGGGAATACTGTGGAGGTGGTTGGGGTTCAGGGTACATTTGTGGCTGGACCGCATATGCCTGAGTCGTGTGCTGCGGCGGGGGAGGGTAGGGAGCTTGAGGCTGGTGTGGACTTTGGTGGGCATTTGGCGGGGAAGTAGTCAATGCAGGTGCCATTTGCGAGTTAGATTTCTGTTCCGGTGCCGGCGGTCCTTCTTGGGTGTTAGCCGGTGGTCCTTGGACGTTGGCCGGCGACTCGTTTGAAACGGGAGGCTTCGTTGCGTAGGGAGAACTGTAAGACCTGTTTGCTGGAGGTGCCAAGGCCGGGGGAATCAACGTTGGGATGTGGGTCATAGGACGATGTGGCCCAGGGTGGAAATTTCCATTCAACTGCGATTGTGGGTGCCCCATAGGACCGCTGATAAACGGCTGCTGACCAGGTTGAAAGTTCTGAGAAGGCATTGCAGATCCCTGAGGTGGTGCTATCATGCCTTGAGATGGATAGCCTTGGGGAGGATTGCCTTGGGGAGGATTGCCTTGGGGAGGATAGCCTTGGGGAGGATAGCCTTGGGGAGGATAGCCTTGAGGAGGATAGCCTTGCACTGGAGGTCCATTGTAGAAAGTATTGGGGTATAGTTGTTGCATCCCAGGATGATGCTGAGGTGGAGGCGAAGCTTTCCTCTTTCTCTCTTTCTCAAAGGTTGCACCCGGTTTGACTCCCCACCTCCAACCCTTCCCACAACGCGAAACCTTATAGAACCCGTCATTTTGTCCGAGGTTGTGACGAACACTACTCTGCCACCCATTGGTTTGAGCTCCGTGAGCAAAATAAGCGTGTTTCCATGCGATAGCATTGTAGATTTCCGGCAGGGTCAATGCCTTAGATTTCGACTCAGTCAGAGCGTCGTAAATGAGCGTGACATAAGTTATTTGAGGCTTTATCAGCTCCCCCGGAGCGAAGGTTGATCTGTCGGGATAGTTGTCAAGACAGAAAGCAGGAGGTGATTTGGCACTCTTTTTCGCTTTCACTAGCTTCTTTCCCTTATCGTCACCTGTGGCGCCCTCTGCTATTTGCTCTCCGTCTTTTTGCTCTCCGTCTTTTTGCTCCCCGTCTTTGAGTTCCTTTGGCTTCCTCTTCGTGTACTTTCGCTTCTGCCTGGGCTCCGGAGGTGTGTCTGGCTTTGGATGCTTGCGAGGACGACCAACTTTTCGCTTGATCTCACCATCGGGCACAGTCTTATTGGCGGTATTCGCGGGATCCAAGGTTGCTGATTCGATATTTTCGGAAATTTCGGCCACCTTGGGCTCCGTGGCTCCGTTCTCCCCCTCCTTGGCGGTCTGTATTACAGCTTGCTGGGCCGCCTTTGCTTTGTCGGCTGTTTTGGCGGCTGCTTGCGCTGCCAGTCTCTCTTCTTTCTCTTGGCGCTTGGACTTTTCACCCTTGGGCGGTCGACCGGCTCCACGTTTCTTGACTGGGGGAGCTTTTTTCGGCCGAGACAGAACCTCCTCCATCTCCAAATCTTCTTCACGAGCGGGCTCATGCCGATTCTTATCTTCATCAGCCGCACACTCTTGCGCATCCTCTCCATCGCTCTCCACATGATGACGGTTTGTTTCAAAGATCTCATTATAATCGGTCGTTTCGCCTGCCTCTTCGCCTCGGATTATCTCTCCCTCTTCATACTCGATATCATCATCGTCATCATGATCGTCCATGTCATAATCATTCATATCATGATCATCGTCATAACTCTCGCTGCTGACACCGGGGTCGGCTCTTCGATCAGCCAAGAATTCCAAGCTCATCTCTTTTCCATGCATCCTATGGATCGACGGGGTGGAGCCACTTTCGAACCGCGTGCCATCATCAGAGGATTTGTACTGTTCGGCTCCTGTCCCACCTTCTGGGATATGTTCTGGCAGCCTCCATAACATGAGAACTGCGCCAATCTGTAAGCTGTCGCCATTCTTCAGGGCGAAAGTTTCGCCTCTTTGGTGATGTACTTGGTCCACGAAGCAGCCGTTGACTCCCCTGACGTGTGCTTCCCAGAGAGTCTTATCGAAGTTGAATTCGATGAGCAGGTGGTCTCGTGATATGCCCTTCCATGCGCTCAAATTGTCCTTGTCAAGCGGATGGATTAGAAGTGTCGCTACTCTGTGAGGAGAGGGCGTATGCTTCTCTACTTCCACTCTTGCAGGCTCTTCGACATTTGACTGGTAAAATCGCTGATTGGTATTACTAGGTGGGACCATAGATAGTCTCCGTGACCGATGTTGGGATGATGAGCCAGAAGACCTTGGTGTCTTGAGGCGCTTGTCTGGTCTGCTCGAGCTTCGATCTCGTTCTCTCCGTCGTTTCCTCCGATCACGCTCCAGCTCATGGATTTCTTGTTGATCAAAGTCTCTGACGAAGCCTGCTTTTTCACTGACCATAGATTTGGCCTTACTGTGCCCCCCCTTGTGATGAGACTTTTCTCTTTCCATCTGCCGCATGTGGAGCTTTTGGGCCGTGACGTCCCTGCCTATTTTGAGTGAATAGGAGTTCAGATAGAAGTGACCATCCTCGAACTCAATTTTCGCAAACCCTTGTACTTCTTGATCTGCGATATCCATAGCTGATGGCTCGGCTGGGGGATTGAAGTAGTTTCCGTATTGTTGGCTCTGCAGGGACAGCATATTTTGCAATGGACCATACTCAAACCAGTCGGTGGTCTGCCCAGAGAAGGGATTCTCTATGCTGGGAATAGTTGGGCCCTGGGCTGCCATTATATTCATCGGTCCCATGGTCTCCGAAGACATCCCATGGCTATCGTGACCTCCTGATACTTCGATATCAGACTCAAGCGCTGGCAGAAGGCCTGAAAACAATCTGCCATCCACGAAAGCCGGACCCTCCTCGCAGTTATCTGTTCCCATCGGATGAAGCTCCTCTTGAAGCCGCTGCTTGCCTTCCGCACCGCTGCGGAGATTCTTCCCAAAGCCAGTTTGGCAATCCTCAAAGGAAGCCATGTAAGGATTCCCATGTGCATCTGCATGCGCAATATCCAGCAGGTTCATTAAACCGTTGTTAATCCCCGCGCCTTGCGATTGCAGACCTCCATCTCCGGCGTCCTCTCCACCACCATTGCCAGAATTCTGCAGACCCCCCATCTGAACCTCATTCTGCGGTGCTGTCGTATTCTCTTCGGTTGGGGCGTTGTGCGCATCGCCATCAGAATGCTCCGGTGTAGTGTCGGCTGGTTGAATGTGGTCCTCGTCATTATCGCTCGCAGGTGTCGCAGTGACGCTGGAAGTCGCATATGCAGGTCCGGGTGAAGACAATGGAAGGGTAGCGTTTGAAGTCATCGCTGTCGTTTCGGGAGGTGACAACTCGTTCAAAGGCTTTTTGGACGCGTCGAGATAATCAGGAAAAAAGAGTTCGTAGAAGAGGGACTGATCGGAGATACTGGAATTGCCCGCCTCCACATGAGTCTCCGCCTCAACCTCGCTGGGCCGTTGCGGCCGCCCCCAATGGCCGGGATTCATGCCAAGTCTCACCACGTGACTCATATCAAAAAAGTGGAGCTAGAACAGGTAGCAATGGATGTATCAACTTCTTTTCTTTAACAAAACTTCAATTGGAATACGGAGAGGGGAGAAGCGGGAGATCGGATGAATTTGTACATCTGCACCGATCAATTAGTAGGCCGCTACAATTAGTTATTCAGAAGTTAATGCTGACTTGAGGTGCGCGAAGTGGGCTCTACAATCACCTAGTAAAGAAATCTCCCTCATGCCAGACCTGCAGTAGAGAAGTCAGTAACATGGTTCACTGTTACGTACGGTACGGCTCTTTGGGCTCGTCAAGCAGAGCCGGTCCTCAAGTAGCGAGGTCGTAGCGGTACTGCTAAAAGCTCTAGGATAGAGAGGTAGTGGCACACTTTTCCTTATTCAAAGTTTTTATACACTAGAGAATCCCTTGACTTTACCCGTAATGGATATGGGCTTTTACGATATCACCCTGATTCGGGAAGCGTCGGACTATGGGGTCTGTAGGCATGACATCCATCTACTTTGATCTCGCCTAATAAAAGGAACTCTTTGTTGGTACATACGTAAACAAAAAGGCTTCTCCGGAACCAGTAGGTACGACAGAAGCATTATGCAGTGAAGGACCCACTCACTTTCCTCTCTGACTGCCGCTTGATACTCTTGTGAGTCCTTACCTTCTACTAGCTCGGTGGCGTTGCCTTCTGCGTAGCCAACTATGAAATAAATTCCTAGCTTCCCATCTCGTTTGCTTCCAACGCAGAGCTCACCAGAATCCGTGCGAGTAAGTAAGTCGATTGGACAGAGGCGAGGCAATCCCTCGTTTGCGAGTATCTCGATTTTCGATTATCGACCACTCAATCTATCGTTTAAAATCAAAATAATACAACGACTTCTTCCCGACTCCAGGTCGGCAAAGGTTATGGGTCCCACCATTAGCTTTCTCACTGGGGCGGTGATCACAGGCCGTTTCGTCTATTGCTACTAAAGATGATGTCGTCCTTGATTTTGGCTAGAGCCGTCTCCTGGCCAGCCAAGCTATTCTGCACTTTCTGCACTTTCTGCACTTGCTGCACTTGCTGCACTTGCTGCACTTGCTGCGTAAGTGGGCGTGGAAAGAACCAAATCGGCGTCGGCACCACCAGGAGCAGCAGGAATTGATTTCATGTCTTCTCATACCAATCAGGGGGTATGCTGGCTTCATTTCAGGATTCTTGGAGTGCCAGTCGAGATGAGTGGGAAGCTTAACAATGCAATACCTAGGCACGTCTTGGGTTTGGAGACTGGAGGTGCAGTCTCCTCCGGCAGGTGCTGCTAGGGCCCGTTTGGTCCAACGTTGGTTTCGTAAAAATGGTCTGACTCAAATTGAAGAAGAATCGACATCTTTTTATCGACAGCTGCTTGGGAAGTGTCCATCCTTCCATTGCTAGAGTCTACGCATGTAGATAAATGCAATACTGCTACTTACAATATGCTGCATGCTTCATCCCCAACTTGAGTCAAGTTCCAGCCTGCTCTAGAGAGTCGCTTGATACCGGGCCCTGTGTTTTGGAAATCGATTGAAGCGTCATGGAGGCTAACCCATAGGGCACTCCGTCCATACGCTCCAGATAGGTAATAGTCTTTGGTAGAATGGTAGAAGAGAGGGTCTGTGCGCCTAGCTCACGCCTTGGTACAGTACTAGGTAACTGCTCATGCATAGAACCACTTTTCGTACCAAAACTAAGGGTCAACACTTCGAGAAAAAATCAACATCAGCCGGTACCTATTAATTCGATCTTCGGAGAAATACTTAGCTGAAACCGCCAAGCTTAATTCTGATTGTTTGATAGACCTAAATACAAAATATAAGGCTGAGACCCACGACAACCCTATTCTATCAATTCGAGGCTGGTGTTATCCTCAGAGACAACTCGACACTTAAAAGCTGCAGAAGCCGAAGATCAATCAATAGAAGGAGGGTATTTGAGAGATTGCTATCCAATCCAAGATCTCGAGTAATTATCGAGCGCAAGATAGCTACTGTTGAAAAAGTTTCCGACCTATACCACAGCACATATTACATATCGCATGATATCAGATGTAGACTTCTACAGCTACTCAATGGCCATGACATTTCTGAAAATGGATTGTTATGTACAAAAGTCGCTGAAATAATACTCATCGTTATAATAGGATGTGATTTCGGATAGTTGGCTGCTAGCGTGGCTGAGGATTACTACGCGTTAATCATCTGCAGGACCATGCAACATTCGCACCACGCACTCGCAATGGAAGACGAAACCAAGGATGATTGCGAGAGCTCTCAATGGGAGGAAATTGATCCTCTTGTCGCCGAGCTTTTAAGAAATAGGGGATGGGAAGGACGTCGCGAGCTCTATGAGAGTTCAGCCCCCGACGAGAAGCCACCAACGTGGGCACTGTTCCGCAACAATGCGCAAGAGAAGGGGAGGATTCAAAAACTAGCAGAGACGGCTACCTCATCGCCCTCGATCCTTGGGAAGAACGAGGACAGAGATCCAGCTGGTCCTCCTCTCTATGGATTAGACTCCTCGAGCAAGCAGCTTGTCTCATCCACTGCCCCCTCAGGGCCCGGTAGAACCTTCGGCAGCAAAGATGAAGATGGCAAGAAGGCGAAGAGCGATCCCTTCGGTCATCGTATCGGTCCTCCAGGCTCCACCAGTAGCCAGCGTGCTTCATCCAACATGGTATCAGGATCCCGCGCAAGTTCAGTTGGCAACGAGAGCTCATCCGGCAACCAGCATAACGCCTCGCAATTCCTCACACGATCCTTGGCATTCGGCAAAAACAAGACCATCTCCTCTGCCAGTCAGCGTATCTCGTCCCACAACGAACCGGAACAGGGTCCTAAGGCCAACGCCGATCCTACCCAGAAATCCCGACTTCGCGAACAACTCTCGCACGAGGGTAGTGCCGACGCAAGAAGAACTGATGATCTCAACGCGAGAATTGCCAAACAAAACGCAAAGGCTGCGGCGCGCATGTTGGCTTCTAGCAGCAGTGATGGAGAAAACGCTCTGAACAAGTTGATTGCCGAGCATAACGCTAGAACCGCGGCCAAAATTTTAGCTAAATCAAACACTCAATGACGGCTTTCGAGGGTAACCGGCTCGTGTCTTTCATCTGAAGACAACAGGAAAGTATGGGCTGATTCCTCCCTCCAGCTGCAGACCGGTTGCTGACTACCATGAGGCAGAACATTGATACATGCTTTGCAGAGATTTTGGGATCTGCTTGGATCGATTTACTTCCTGCTGAAGATGAAAGAACAGTAGTAACTCTACTCCCAAGCTTTGAGACTTGGGCTGACCGTTATACTGGAGAGACAGGCTTGCATAAACGAACCCTGGCAAAGTGTACAACAGAGAAAAAAACGGACAAAAAGGCTACAAGATCTGCGAATACAATAGTTCTGGTACAAACGAGAAAAAACAAGGGCGGTATGCAGTACGTAGACCAGGTCAGAAAAGATACAAATGCAACGCAGTACAGTCTCGCATCACCTTTCTTGTCGACTGTTTCCGCGCAGTCCTTTATTAAGACTATTCCCTCTCAAGGAGAGAGTAGCGGCGAAGATATCACTTGATAGGAGGTTCTTCTTCTGGCTTTATTATCGTCGTCTTATGTAGTGACGACATCTAAATCTACAGCTGAAAAAATTCCCGGAGGTTGTCATTTCGGCGGCGGTCGGAGAAACCAAAGCTCCGATATAAGATACGAGCTCCGATGGACTAGGTAGGTAGGTAGGTACCTACCTAGGTAGCTCACCACCTGAGAAATAAGTGGCCGATTGAGGCACGTAATGCAACCCACCAACTTCAAAAAAGTATTTCGGATTATTTTACTTCTAATCCTTAGTCGTTCGCCCCCCAAGTCGAATACAATCGTGCAATGTCTTCGTATACCAACAGAATTGATTATTAATCTTCTCTTGATCCGTGTCCTCACCGAATAGGTACCTTCCGAAAGCAAAGCTATTTGACGGGACTAAGCCCGTGCCTCAATCGCCCCTTTGTTTCTCCTGTGGAGAGACTAGGTAGTCAGTCAGCCTTTGAGGCTATAGTGGCCTCGTTAGTCTCAGGTATAGAGCTCTACAGGTGGTATCACAGGTAAAATTGAGGTCGAGTCTGGTCTGATTTGTAAACCCATAGGAAGAAGCTATCCATGATCAGGGTACTAACTAAATCATGATGACTGCATCCCATGAATCATCTCGCTAATACCACCCACCAAACTTAGCACCAAGTGGAAGGTGGGCAAAATCTCGATTTTGTATGCTATCAAGATCACGTCTCATCATTACTTCATGATAGCCACATCCCACTTCACTCTATCGCTCCCAGCCCATAACTCCGAGTGTAGCCTCATCGCCTCTACTTTTCCTTGAACTCCTGCGAAAAGATCTTATGCCAAACATCCAGCCATTTTTGCTGCTGTCCCGTAAGCTGCTTCCCAGGACTCTTGAACGACCTCGTCAAGATCTCACGCAGTTTCGCTCTTAAGGTCTTGATTACAAGCATTGTCTTCCAGTCAGAGACAGCAAATCGTGCGCGGTTACCATCGAGGATGAAGACGCCGGCGTACATCTGGTGTTGAATTAGTAATGAACTTCGTGAGAGGGATTGAACGGATTTACATCGCATCGAGCATCGCCACATAGGAGAACGATGGAAAATTCTTCGACTGCGGTTGTTTCGTGAGCGTTGTAGAACCTGTGTTGTATAAATAATATGTCTGAAGTACTACCGAGGCCAACTTACTGCTTTGCCTGCATGATATGGTAGTACGAAAGCCATTTAAGCTCATGGTGGCCTTTGTTGACAGAAGTGGGGTGCAGACTGATAGACTGATTGTTGGCCACGTTACGAAATCCTCGACCGTCTTTGATCAGCAGCTTTGGATAGAAACTCCATGCAATGACTGAGCTGGTTACGAGATCATTGTCGCTATTAGCATTTGCTCGTTGAGGTATATCGAAGAACTGACGGCGTCTATTGGAATACCGAGTTCTGATTCATGTTAGCGATTTCCAAAAATTAGCAGGTAGAACGCCGACCTATTCAATACAGCACGCTCCTCTCCCGTCAATGGTAAGAAGCCTGAGTCAACCAGACAAACCACGAGTTGGCCTTTGAGGTCCTCAATATTCAGTAACGTTTGCTGACTGAGGAAATTCTTTCGGCAGAATTGATACTCATTGTTTCCGGTGACACAAACTCGCTTCCAAGCTAAATACGCGTTGTAGACAGTGAGAAGATCTGAGTCGCCTCTGCGGAAGGCCAGTCGTACTGTATCGGCCTGAGCTCGGGCTCCGAACGGTGCAGAGAAGGGTGATTTCGAGGACAGTATAGCTGCGATGGTAATCGACGCATCGAGACACTTGAAAATGCTGCCGAAGAGAACCAACTTCCCAAGAAACACATCTAAGGGCAGTCTTGCGAGTTGAGTGCCTAGAGGTGTGAGATCCTCCCCCGGAGTCAGGGCTCTGACATCTATCAGAGCATCAACAGCCCGACGAATATTCTTAGAAGAGGGCGGGTCCAAGGCCTGAGACAGCGTCTCCTCAATGCCTCCAAGCTTACAAATCTTCACACGAATGGCAAGATCCTGCAGTGACAAGCGAAGAAGCTCTGGGGTCTGCTGGTCGGCCATGAGTTCGTCGTGTCGATACTTAGTGAAAAGATGAAAACACAGTCCCTCCTGCACTCGTCCAGCTCGTCCCCTTCTTTGCTTAGCGTTTGCTTTGCTGATGAATGTTTCCAGGAGTCTAGAGAGTTGCTTTCTCTCATCAAATCGCATCTCTCGGTGCTTTCCGGTATCAACAACACAAGTTACATCGGGAATAGTAATACCAGTCTCAGCGATATTGGTTGCGAGGACAATTTTTCTAGTACCTGGTGGAGGAACAAGAAAGGCAGCTTCCTGATCCTCACTCGCGATTGTTGAATGTAACGGATAGACATACCAGTTCGCAGCGAACACAGGATGGCCGATAAGCATATCGTTGAGGCTGCGAATCTCTCCAATACCTGGCAAAAAGACTAATATAGCCTTGCTGAAAATTTGCAGTTTGTCGTCCAAAGCAATTTTGGCGAGAAGTTGGGTGACCAATTCGAAGTCGATCTGATATTCGTCCAGCTGCGAGATTGTGTTTTTTGTTCTGCCACTGTAGCCCCTAAGAGCTTTCGTATGTTCTGCCTTATTCGCATCTGTGACGCTTGCCTCTATAGCATGAGCCTCGTCCTCGTCGTCTAGGTTCGTGAACTTTTCTTGATATGTGTTATCAAGGGTGTATCCAGTCAACTCTACAGCATCCTCGAGGTATTTGACTGTAACAGGAAATGTGCGCCCGGGGACAGTGAGTACCGGAGCACCATCCAAATACTTCGAGAAGCGTTCAGCATCAACTGTGGCCGACATCAGTACAACCTTGAGATCTCTACGCCTAACGAGGAGTTTTCGTAGAACAATCAACAGGAAGTCGCTGTCGATGGTACGCTCGTGGACTTCGTCGAGAACAATATGTGTGATATCCTTGAGATCATTGGACCCCTCAAGCATTCTCATAACAATACCCGTAGTTGCGTATACAAGTCGTGTTTCTTTTGAAGTGTTTGACTCAAGGCGGATCGCGTAGCCAACGAGAGATCGCGATGTTCCGAGATCATTCTTACGCTCTCCAAGCTCCTCGCTGACACGCCGAGCCAGGGAAATCGCCGATATACGTCTTGGTTCTGTGCAATAGATTTTGCAAGGCTTGCCTTGCGAAAGTTGGTGTTCTAATATGAAGGATGGCACCTGAGTACTCTTTCCGCATCCTGTCTCTCCGCAGATGATAACAACTTGCTCTCGATCGATAGCGGCAAGCACTTCATTCTTGAAGCCCCACATGGGTAGTTGCATACGCGAATTCTGAAGTACTGTTAGTGACGCCTCATCAATAGAGGAAAGGACTGACCAGCATAAATTGATAGCTCTGAGTGTTGCTCTTTTCGTACCAAATTCTTTTGTAAGCTTCTGGTTCGAACAGACTCTTGTTAGACTTGTCAGTACCAGAATCATCACTATTTTCAGGAGCCCGAGAAGCATTGCGGTTTCTGAACGCTCCCTGAATGAGAACACCATCTTCTAATTCCTGGTCTCTTTTCTCGCGGACCATGTCCCGAAAGACACGAATATTTGCCCGGTCTGTCTCGTCTGCTTTTTCCTTCTTTGTTTCTGCAAATTCTGTCCACAGATCTCTCCACGCAGGTGGTAAACGGAGAAAGACCTTATCCTCTTTCGCGGAAGAGCTGAACAGTAGGAACAATGCAACAGTAGCAATGTAGGCCTCGGACTGCTTGGAATCAGGAGTAGAAACAGAGATCATGGTGAAGGTTTGAGACTTCGGGGAAGAGGTGTAGTCCACAGGGGATGGTGCCACTGATGCTGGGATGTCCTGTGCCTTGGACCATATGATCCTGAGCGAATGTCGATTCGAGAAGCTTGAGTCAGAGATCAATGTAAAGTTTAATTTTACAGACGAATCGCTGTGAATGCATTAGTATTGAGGGACAACAATCTTCAGGAGGCAGGTAAAGTGGTACAAACATACCGAGCACGGCAAGCCTCTTCGAGCACTCTTGTCGGATTAATCCCAGACCATTTGCCAAATTCTCGAATAGTGACCTTGATACCATTTGGGCCGTTGACCACAGTAGTGCTCTTTCCAGTAAGAGGATCCACTTCATTGACTGGCAGGCTCGCAAACAGATCGGCTAGCACATCATCATCATCACTTCCGGCCTCTTCGAGCAATGCAGCTCCGATCTTCGCAGCTTCCTTACTGACTTCGTCATCGGAATCGACTAGAGTTTGTGACCCTTGGGAATTCGAATCATTGTTTTCCAAGCCAATTTCACCCAGTTTTCGAGCTGCCGCTGCTTCTTTCTCGAGCTCGATTCGCTTGGCCTCCCACTGCTGATCCGCAAGATATTTGTCGAATAAGACATCATCCTCGATCTTCTTGATCTTCCTCAACAACTTTACTGACTCAGGATCTGTGCTACCTGCAGCTGTCAGCGCACTTGCAACCTTGCTGCGAATTTTGCCGCGAGGAGTTTCTTTTCTGGGCGCGGATGGCTGGTTGAGAAACAACTTCGTCTTAGCATCTAGATAGGCCGGTAATAGGTCATCTGGATCGATATCACTGTCGTAATCCAACGCAGCCTGCTTCTTGGTGGGAGTGCGTTGGCTCTCTACTCTCAAAGTGCTGTTGTTAGGCCCGCCTATATGTCTCGTGTCAGGCTCAATACGAGGGGTAGTGGTCCCGGAGGGCAGAGGACTATCAGTGGGTGTTTCTAGGACACCGTTAGTTATTGGCATGGACAACATGTGCAGAAATTCTGACCTGCTTGCGATCGTGACAAAGCTCCTGCTTTTCGATGCCAATTATCATAATCTGGAAGCTGTTCTCTCGAGCACTCGCGCGCAAGCCAGTCTAAGGATTCCTCCATTCCCCAGATTGCGTCCTTGTTCCCTGTGCCTATCTTGTCCGATATATCCAAAACATGCCTTACAGCTTGGGATACCTTCTCCTCAATAAATCCTGCACCGGTGAGAGCTTGCTGTAAGGTCCATAGACGAATTATCAACTCCTCCTCTGATGCCTGCTTGACATTGCCCGAGTCGTTGGACTGTCCTGTGTAGCGCCCCTCCGCGTTAACCAAATCCATTATCTCCTCCATCAACTCGGTGGGCAGCCATTTTCTCGTATTGAGACTTTCGGCCTGACTCCTCAATACACGTCGATCGGTCTCCAGCCTGGTCTTCTGGCGGAGGGCATCTCTCTTGGATTTTTGAGAGTGTTTCTCGACCAGTATTTGGAGCTCTGAATCCTCGAGTTGTTTCTCGAATTCCTCCGCTGTCAAGGTCTTTTCTTGTACTACCGGAGCTTCTGTATGGTTCTCCGCGGCCAATATCTGATCCGTCTGTTGCGTCTCGAGAGTGTGCTCGGTGGCTGTCGTTTCCGACTCAGCAATTTCGGCTTTGGGCTTTGAAGCAACAGATGTAGTTGCGAAACCGCGCGCAGGATTTGTCGCGGGCTTCTTTTTCTTCTTTCCCCCAACCATAGCGCAAATCTTGATGTACCTACCGGTATGTCGTGAAAGCTCAGGTGCGGGGTGCTGTTGATGCGCGCGTTTACGTTTTGTAGTCGCTAAAATTCGCGTCAACGCGGACCCCGACTTTTACTGCACAATTCAATTATTCACTACAAGCACCTCCACCAGCATCCAACCACCACTCCTAAAATTTAAGCCCTTCTTCTCAACCCAGGTCATGACCATAGTCCCGAGACTTCAAAATGACTGAGGTGGAGGTAAACGGCATGAGCAGGGTCGATCTGGATCTCGGTGCCACAAAGGCAGCATTGACTTCCTCCTCTACTACCACTCGTCTGGGCAACCTGCATGCCCTTGAAGAAAGGCTCTCGAATAAGGGTAGGCCCTTTAGTATAAGTCACTGCTAAAGATCATATGCTGATTTTATTTGGTGCTAGAGATAAACCAGCAACTCTTTCTACCCTTACTGCAACTTCTATTCACTACATATCCCTTCTACCATGACAGAAATTCCCGGAGAGCTGTGCAGCAATGCCTACGGGCTGTTTTCAGTTCGGGATGTGCCCCCGAAGTACTGCTAGAATTTGTCAAGGCCGTCCAGATAGAGACTACAAAGCAGGGCCTTGCTCCCGGCAATGCATTTGTCCTGGTTGAATGGTGTAGCATTTTACTGCAAGAGAGTGCTGGCACAACATACTGGGAGAAATGGGGGCTACTGCTCATGGAAAGCAATGCCCGGGTACTTGAACTTTGTCTTGGCAAATCGATACGATCCAATCTGAAGCAGACGGCCCTCGTTATCACCAGACGCGGTTTGCGTAAGGTTTTCTCGAAGGGTGACGCTGGGACAAAAGCTATCGAAGAAGCTGTGCACATGCTATCTTCTAAAGGATCACAACCATCTGCCAACGCCGTCATGTTGGGAGTCGTTGCTGGGGTGTGTTCGAGGAAACCGGAGGCAAAGAAAGTACTGTCAACGAAGACATCCGAATATTATACTTTCTATATCCGAGAGATCATCGGGTCACGGACTCCATTGCCAGACTACATATCCAAGGCTATGGGGGACTTCTTTGAAGCTTTTACAACCTTAGAAGATGTGGAGAAATTGCTCGTTCCAGCTCTTGAGAAGGCCCTCCTTCGTGCACCTGAGGTTGTGCTGAATGATCTGCTCACTCCGCTTTTCAGTTCCATTCCGAACTCTGTTGACCTCTCGGGTGTCCTTCGAAACAGCCTTTTGAAGCCGCTACTGGCTAATACAAAGTCTACCAATGCTGCGGTACGCCAAGGCGCTTTCTCCGCTTTCAAAGCCGCGGTCCTCAAGTGCCATAACACGGATCTGATCACTCAGATTGCTCAAGAAGTCCTCAGTCCTCTGAAAGCTGGCAAATTGGCTTCGGCTGAACAGAGAGCTTATTACGCCGATATGCTCACCATTTTGCCTCCCTCGGAGGTTACAGTAACTCATGTCGCCCCTGCAATGGCTGTTATTGCCGGAAAAGAAGCCAACGAAGCTGCTCTTCACTCGGAGACTTTGACGCTTCTTCATTATGTTATCTGGGGACTCCTCAATGACCTAGATATTGACAAGCAAGTGATCGATGCCTTTGTCAAAGGGCTCTCCGATAAGAAGGTGCCTGTCAAAAAGCTCTGGGCTATCCGCCTTGGAGAACTATTTTGGTCTACCAGTGATGCAGATACCTGGAAGTTCAAGTTCTCTAAACTCGCAGAGTCAACAATACCAGCATTGATGACTACCTGGCAAGAGGTAACTGCGAATCCACTTGCAGCTGCACAATCGGGTCTAGTTACCAGTGCATACGTCCTCACAGCCATCTCGACTTCAAGACTCCATTTGTGCTCGAACGTAAAAGTAGAGACGGCACTTAAGAAGGCTCAAATTGAGCAGCATGCACTGACAGTGGAGCCGAAGCCATCATACTTACTAAATCAGCGTATCTATGCCAAGCTCTCCAGCGACGATGATTTCAAGTGGTTCATTCGAGCTCTATCCTCGGTATCGAAAGGTCTTGCTGGCGTTGAGTCAGATTCCGCAGTAGCAGCTGCCTGGTCTCAAGCTACGATATTCTGTGTTTGTTCATCTAGCATCAAACCCCGAACCCGAAAAGCTGCTTCGGGTATGTTGTCACAGCTCTATATCCGAGATCCCGCGCGCATTTCTTCGATAGTTGTTCATGGACTCTGGAAGTGGCGAAATTCCGTTGAATCGGGAGATAAAGACACAGCTGCCGCAGCTGCGAAGACCGACAATGAATATCTACATGTAGTCGTCAAGTCGATCTGCCTCTCAGCAGCAGATCTGACCATACTAGGTAGCCAAATTGTTTCCGAAGTTCGGAGACAACAAATGATATCTTTGTTGGTTCTTTCGCGGCCAGAATTATTACCGCAAGTTAGTTGGATTGAGCTTTGTCTGCGAGTCGACGTCGACCCTGGAGATTTGGCGCGAGAGTCAGGAGATGCTTTGCTGCAGCAGATTCTCGATTGCACCAGCTTCAGCGAATCGGTAAGTTAAGCTAGTAGCTTTCATGAAGCCTGTCAACTAATTGCCAAGCAGGAAAATCTTGAACGATCCGAGAAGGTCAAAATTGCAGCATTCAACGCAGCTGCTGAGTTGGCGTTCGTTGCACCCGACGTAATGACATCTCGGATTGTAAGCCTCATTGAACGTGATCTTGACCCATCCCAGTTAGCCAGCGTAGGCCCGACCGAGGCGGCTATCTTCCGGACCGAAGAGGGTACTGCTTTTGTTGATGTACTCGCTTCAAAGTCACAAAGTTATGTTCCGAATAAAAACACCAAAGACTACGATACCCTCAAGTGGGAAGAAGAGTTAAGGTCGCAGCTCGCGCAAAAGAAGGGCCAACAGAAAAAACTTACTCCGGAAGAAACTGCGAAGGTCAAGGCTCAACTGAAGAAGGAAGCCGACATCCGTCTCGAGATCGGATATGTTGTAGCGAAACTTTTGCGTGGGATTGGCATCATCAGGAGTTTGGCAATTGGTCCCCCAACAGAAGCAGGCCTGTGGATGGGTCCCGCAGTAAAAGCCCTGGTAAATATTATCACTGCCGGCGCTGGCTTGCTGACGGCAAATGCTGCTCCCGATGCGTACATTCTGTGTGCTGAACGATTACCAAGTCGAATTGGTGTGCTACGGCCCTTCATTGGTATTGCAACTCTGAGAGGATTAGATGTTCCCCACCTTCCAGAAAATCTCGTCCAAGAACCACTAGGTGCTCTCGTCACTCGAGTCCTATACCGCCTACGATTCTCTGGAGAACAACGTCCCTTTGATACCGTTTCCTTGACGTACATCCTTCCGCTAGTCTTTCTGGTGCTCCAGAAGGGTGGCTTTGGCGAAACTGACGATGCTGAAGCTCAGCTCGTACTCGCTCTAGAATTCCTCACATTTCATACGGATGCTTGCTCGGACATTCTCGTACCGCGTAAGGAAGTTCTGTCCAACCTGATATTCTCCATGCAAACCTACAATCAGCACTACAAGATCGTCAAGGATTGCTTGGCTGACCTTTGCCGTTGCCTGGCGCCAAATATCACCAACGAGGAGATCGCCATTCTTGCGCAAGGTGCCACTGTTCCCCAGGTTTCTGTTCGAACATCAGTCTTGCAGTCGATCAGCGCCGATATTGACATGAGCGAATTGGACTTCTCGGAGGAAATCTGGCTAGCATGCCACGACGATGTCCCTGAGAATGTTGAGATTGGGAAGGAGATATGGGACGAGAGTGACTTTGCAATATCGGATGACAAACCGTTCCGAATGCTGCGATATCTCGATAGTAAGGATAAACAACTCAGAAGGGCCGCAGCGCGATCTTTAACAGAGGCAGTCAAGATGCAACCATCGACATTCCGTGATGTTCTGTCAGGTTTAGAGTCTCGGTACCAGGATTTGGCAAAGCCCCGTGTTCCTCAGCTTGATGAGTATGGTATGCCCAAGAAAACGGATCTTTCAGACCCATGGGAGGCCAGAAATGGTATCGCTCTTTCTTTCAAGGAGCTTGCGTCAGTTTTTGAGGAGAGCCTGCTGGACGACTTCTTACGTTTCCTGATTGAACAAGGACCTCTAGGCGACCGAGACCCCAACGTGAGGGAAGAGATGGTCGAGGCTGCCGTTACCATCATCGCACTTCATGGCAAAGACAAGGTCGAAGCTCTCATGACGACCTTTGAGCATACTCTTGAAGCTCCGGACAAAGGTTCCGAATTCGCGGATCGAGTGAACGAAGCTGTCATTATTATGTATGGTGCCCTAGCTCGGCATTTGAAGTCAGGCGACCCTCGCGTCCCCAAGGTTGTCCAGAGGTTGTTAGATACACTGAGTACACCCTCCGAAGCTGTGCAGTATGCAGTTGCCGAATGCTTACCACCTCTCGTTCGAGCATCGAGCGACAATACCCACGAATACGTACAACACGTTCTCGACCGTCTATACAACTCTAAGAAGTATGCTGGTCGACGTGGTGCAGCATACGGTCTTGCTGGAATTGTGCATGGTAAAGGAATCTCTGCTCTAAGAGAATTCAGAGTCATGTCAACATTGAAGAGTGGCATCGAAAACAAGAAGGATGTCAATCATCGCGAGGGTGCCTTGCTTGCATATGAACTTCTATCAACTATCTTGGGGCGTATCTTTGAGCCCTACGTCATTCAAATCGTACCTCAACTGCTCCAGAGCTTTGGTGACGCCAGTGCCGACGTTCGGGATGGTTGTCTGGCAGCTGCCAAAGCTTGCTTTGCCAGCCTGAGCTCGTACGGCGTGAAGCGAATACTACCTACTTTACTGGACGGTCTTGATGACCAGCAGTGGAGAAGCAAGAAGGGTGCCTGCGATCTTCTCGGTGCCATGGCTTACCTCGACCCACAACAACTCGCCCAAAGTCTTCCCGTGATCATCCCGCCTTTGACTGGAGTTCTGAACGACAGTCACAAGGAAGTTCGACTTGCGGCAAATAGGAGTTTGAAACGCTTCGGTGAGGTTATCAATAACCCGGAAATCAAGGGCTTGGTCAGTGTTCTTCTTAAAGCTCTGAGTGATCCTACCAAGTACACCGATGATGCTTTGGACGCCCTTATCAAAGTGTCTTTTATTCATTACCTCGACGCTCCATCTCTTGCCCTTGTGGCTCGCATTTTAGAAAGAGGTTTGGGAGACCGCTCAGCGACGAAGCGAAAATCTGCGCAAGTCATTGGCAGTTTGGCACATCTAACCGAACGGAAAGACCTTATCGCCCATCTGCCAATATTGGTTGCAGGTCTCAAGATCGCTGTGGTTGACCCGGTTCCTACGACTCGCGCTACCGCGTCCAAAGCTTTGGGTTCTCTAATCGAGAAATTGGGCGAGGATGCGCTACCAGACCTGATTCCAGGTCTTATGCAGACTTTGAAGTCAGACACTGGTGCCGGAGACCGTCTTGGATCTGCCCAAGCTCTCAGTGAAGTACTCGCAGGTCTTGGAACTGGACGTCTTGAGGAGACACTGCCCACTATCCTTCAAAACGTTGCCTCCGCCAAGCCTTCCGTTCGCGAGGGATTCATGTCACTTTTCATCTTCTTGCCCGTCTGTTTCGGAAACAGCTTCGCCAGCTACCTGAGCAGAATTATTCCTCCTATTCTGTCTGGTCTTGCAGACGAAGTTGAGTCGATTCGCGACATCTCCCTCCGCGCCGGACGCCTGCTTGTCAAGAACTTTGCAACGAAATCCATCGATCTTCTACTTCCAGAACTTGAGCGTGGTCTTGCTGATGACAGCTACAGAATTCGTCTCAGTTCTGTCGAGCTGGTTGGTGATCTTCTATTCAATCTCACCGGCATTAGCGCCACGAATGAAGCTGAAGATATCGAAGAGGGTGCACAAGAAGCAGGAGTGTCACTCCTGGAAGTTCTCGGCGAAGAGAAGAGGAACAAGGTGCTCTCATCACTCTATGTCTGTCGCTGCGATACTTCTGGATTGGTCCGTACTGCTGCTGTGAACGTGTGGAAGGTTAGCATATTTCCCCTTTATTTTGTTGGTGTCTTGGTATCGGGATCGTGTCTTAGGATCATAATTTTGATACCTTTGAATCACTTGAAGCTAACACGCAGAATAGGCACTTGTTGCCAGTCCAAGAACACTGAAGGAACTTATCCCCACATTGTCACAACTCATCATCCGAAGACTGGGCAGTTCCAACATGGAGCAGAAGGTTATCGCGGGTAATGCACTTGGAGAGCTTATTCGAAAGGCTGGTGATGGTATCCTGTCAACCTTACTACCAACTCTGGAAGAGGGTCTGCAAAAATCCACCGATACAGACGCTAAGCAAGGTATCTGCATTGCTTTGCGCGAGTTGATCTCTTCGGCCTCCCCAGATGCATTAGAGGATCACGAAAAGACCCTCATCTCAGTCGTGCGAACGGCTTTGACCGATTCGGACGAGGATGTCCGAGAAGCAGCAGCTGAAGCTTTCGACTCGTTGCAACAAATCTTGGGCAAGCGTGCTGTGGACCAGGTCCTGCCTTATCTTTTGAACCTATTACGAACCGAAGACGAGGCCGACAACGCATTATCTGCTCTGTTGACGCTGCTCACGGAGACCACTCGATCCAACATAATCCTTCCAAACTTGATACCAACGCTCACCACATCCCCAATATCGTCCTTCAATGCCAAGGCGCTTGCTTCCCTATCTACCGTCGCTGGATCAGCTATGACACGACGCCTGTCAAGTATCCTGAATTCTCTCATGGACAACATCGTTTCTTGCAAAGACGAGGATCTCCTTGCAGACCTCAACGCATCGTTTGACACCGTTGTCCTATCTATTGACGAGTTTGATGGGTTAAATACTGCTATGAGTGTTTTACTTGCATTGGTGAAGCATGACGACCACCGACGCAGAGCTGCGACTGACTACCATCTTGCCAAGTTCTTCGCTTCCTCTACAGTGGACTACTCTCGCTACAATCAAGATATCATTCGGGCGCTGCTTATCTCGTTCGACGACAGCGATAATGAGGTTGTGAAGGCTGCTTGGACTGCTCTATCAGAGTTCACCAAACGCTTGAAGAAAGAGGAGATGGAGGCACTGGTCTATTCTACTCGGCAAATTCTGCAACACGTCGGTGTTGCAGGTGCTAATCTTCCCGGCTTCTCGTTACCGAAGGGTATCAACGCTATTCTGCCCATCTTCTTGCAAGGTCTGATGAATGGTACTCCCGAGCAAAGAACTCAGTCCGCTCTTGGTATCTCTGATATCGTTGATCGAACAAGTGGAGAAGCCCTAAAGCCATTTGTTACCCAGATCACTGGACCTCTCATTCGTGTTGTGTCTGAGCGTTCAGTCGATGTCAAGGCTGCAATTCTGCTGACCTTGAACAACCTGCTTGAAAAGATCCCGACGTTCCTTAAGCCTTTCTTGCCGCAACTTCAAAGAACGTTTGCCAAATCATTGGCTGATACATCGAGCGAGGTCTTGAGAACAAGAGCAGCGAAGGCCCTTGGTACTCTGATTACACTGACACCTCGTATTGATCCATTGATAGCCGAACTTGTCACCGGATCGAGAACTTCGGATATCGGAGTTCACAATGCTATGCTGAAAGCACTCTACGAAGTCATCAGCAAGGCAGGGGCTAATATGAGCGAGGCATCAAGAGGTGCGGTGCTCAGTCTTATTGATACGGACTCTGAGGACAGCGATGTTTCAATGAGCATCACCAACGCCAAGTTACTTGGTGCTCTGATCAAGAATGTGCCTGTAGAGAGTGCCACCAGTCTCATCAAGAATCGGGTATTGCCGAATCACTTCAATCAATCGTCTATTCTCGCTCTGAACGCTGTGCTTCTGGAAGCTCCGACCTCTCTGACCGAGACTGCCTTTGCAGATGACCTTCCTCCGGCCATCTGCCGAGGTATGACAAGCAGGAATGTAAGTCGTGCTCTATCTAATTGATTTCCACGACTAACGTGCATAGAATTTCATCTCCGACAACTGTGTTCTTGCAGCAGGCAAGTATCTTCTTTTGGACAGCCGCAGCACTGATTACGAGACCTTAAAACCATTGTTTGAAACATTAGCGACTCTGATCCAACCTGGCAACTCTGTAGACACACGCCGTCTCTCCCTGGTAGTCATTCGCACAATTTGTCGCCACCACATGGAGGTTATCCGACCACATTTGCCTCTACTGACGCTTCCTGTGTTCGCCAGTGTACGAGATCCTGTCATCCCCGTCAAGCTAGCTGCTGAGGCAGCATTCATGGCTCTCTTCAACGTTGTCGATGACGAGAGCAAAGTGTTCGAGAAGTACATTTCTACCCAAGACTTGCCTGCAAATCAAAAGAGAAGCATGCAGGATTACTTCAAGCGGGTGGCATTAAGACTTGGCAATACGGCACGAGAGCGGAAGGAGGCTGAGGGTGGACAGGGAGGACTGGGATTGTCAAATGACGAAGTGGATGATGAGAGAGAGATATGGAGTGTTGGAAAGGTTGATCTCGGGGAGAGAGCATTTGATGAGTGAAATGACTTTATGAGAAAAGTTTATTAGCAGAGCAAGAGCGGCTGTTGCATTGCATTGCGTGGCTACGAGGGTACATGTTGCATTCGGCGATTTGGTACGGCACTTTGAATGCCCATCAACAATTTCGGATTTAAAAGTGTCTTCTTGACAAGAGAACAGATAGACTATTCATCTTATGAGGCTGGATTGGATCATCGTTGGGCTGACTAGGAGACTTTTTCCTTAGATGATAAAACTCTGCAAAGATCAAATAAATTAGAAGCCCTATGCGTCTTTCTCTCCTCCTTTCTTCCCTTCCCAAGCTATGTACCTACACCTAATAGTGGGACTTGAAGTCGCAACTTTAAGGGCCCTTAAAGTAGGCGAAAACAATCATGTCCAGCGAGACAATTAGTAGTATGTCCCGCGTCAAATGCTACCAATATCAAGCGAAAATTTAATAAAATTTACGATTTCAATCGCGTGCATCTCAACGAATATTGAAGCTATAATAATACAAATAATAAAATAAAACCGAGACATTCATAAAGTGCCGATATCTAAGAGATTTATATTTTAACTTACGTTGTTGGCTTCGAAATAAAAGAAAATATAGATTTTCAAAAGGTTTATTGATCAATTTTTAAAGATTTAATCCGCTTGCATTTAGACAAATTTAAAGCTATAATAATAATAATTATATAACTAAATTAGCATACTCGTAGAGTATCGATACATCAAGATTTCATATGTTAATTTACACTGTTAAGCGTAGAATTGACAGAAATAAAAGTTTTAACGCTTTTTACCGATTTTAACGATACGAATCTAGCAAATCAAGCGAATCTTTTATCAAATAATAATATATTGGAATCCGAATAATACGATAACCAATGATATTAAAGTATTAAAAACTAAATCAATAGATCCGTATTATCGTAGTCTAACAGAACATCAATTTTTTGTTAAGAAGCTATCAATATGCATAAAGAAATAAATAATAATTTCATTTTCGATGCGGGACATAATTATTTCGCCCACTTTAGGGAAAGGCCCTTGAAGTTTGCGACGTCAAGTCCCACTATGACCTGTTGGTCACTTTTCGACTTCAGCTTGCTTACATAAGCTCGGGAGCTAGCACGTGATCATCACACAAATCGGGTTTCGGAAATTCAAGCGAGCGGAACGCTATAACTCCTCACGACAAAATATCCCTCGTCAACGACAACCACGACGACCATCCACCGACGACAACAACGCCACTGTCAAGATGTAAGCACATCCATCTCCGCGTATGCCATTACGAATCGGGGTCCTTTAGATACTCCAATGCCACGTCCCGCTCAATCTCGAGATGCGTCATAGACCCCTCAATAGCAGATGCTGACATTCTCTTCTTACGATAGGGTCAACCTCACCACCCAAAAGCGCCTGGCGGCCTCAGTCGTCGGCTGCGGAAAGCGCAAGATTTGGCTCGATCCCAATGAGACCAGCGAGATATCGAACGCCAACTCCCGCCAAACCATCCGCAAGCTCGTTGCAGATGGCCTTATCATCAAGAAACCCGTCACCATGCACTCCCGTTCCCGCGCGCGCGATCTCACAGCTGCCCGAAGAATCGGTAGACACCGTGGTTTCGGAAAAAGAAAGGGTACCGCGGACGCCCGCATGCCTAGGTATGCTGCAATCTTGGATGGAAGGATTGAGGGGCAACTTCTGATGTTCTCACAGCCAAGTTGTCTGGATGCGCCGTCTCCGAGTCCTCCGTCGTCTTCTCGTCAAGTACCGTGCCAGCGGCAAGATCGACAAGCACCTCTACCACGAGCTCTACCACTTGAGCAAGGGTAACACCTTCAAGCACAAGCGAGCATTGGTTGAGCACGTAAGTTGACATACTGGGAGGAGGGAATTGAGGTTCACAGGCTGACGATTCAACAGATCCACCGTGCCAAAGCTGAGAAGGCCCGCGAGAGAGTCCTGAAGGAGGAGATGGACGCCAAGCGTGCGAAGACCAAGGCTGCCCGTGAGCGTAAGATGGAGAGAGCTGAGGCCAAGCACCGTGCACAATTCGGCGACGAAGAGGAGACCGAGAAGAAATAAGGGATTGCTTTTCTGGTGGATGGTAGCATACGGAGTGTATCTGGCAGGCAGTGGCTTACTTCTCGGGCCGGCTGCTTTTACTAGTCTTTCTTGCATCTGCACGGAATGGAATCACGATCTTCACACAAGGATGGATACGATGGTGTGTGGCTCTCTACAAATGATGTGAAGCCAGGAATCTCCTTTATTGTCCTCTGCAAACGCACTCAGCAAAGGCCGATGTGATAAGTGTCAACACGTTTGAGTGGCCGCTTGGCCAGCTAAACGTCTGTTCACTGCAAAGTCCGTAGAATCCAATCCGCCCAAGTATCAGCCTCGTGGGTGAAATGGAACAATAAGAACGGAGATGGATACCCCTTAAATAAAGATGGATCGGATATGTAAACCCATATTCTCCCTGGAGAGACCCCTCCGATGTTGCTGTAGGGCGCCACCTGCGCTAGCCGATTGTTCACTTGGCGCATTTACGCGTGGCGGGGCAAGACTTTCAGTTGAAAAGTTTTGGGATCTGGCGGTGAATTCGACTTTGAACTCGAGAGCCCGTTCCAAGCACAGGAGAGGTGAGCACTCAATTTACATTATTTTTCACTATGTCGCTCTTCAGGGGAACTTCGAGGTCTTTCGTTAGAGTTGCTGCTCGCAGAACAGTGCCACTATGTGGTTCGAGGCGAGCTGCATCGTCTACGACCGCAGAGTCCCAGCAGAAGGTACGACCAGACTGCTCTTCGAAGCTTCTGTAGCTAAAAATCGCAACAGCTGCTCTCCGCGGACCTTGAACATGCCGACCCAGCTATCTACGATATCCTCCAGAAAGTACGCCTGCCCATGAGTTCAAAGTCTGGTGGCGGTTGATATTGATATTAAGCGCAGGAGAAAAAAAGGCAGAAGCACTTCATCAACCTCATTCCCTCCGAGAACTTCACCTCGCAGGCAGTGCTGGATGCTCTAGGAAGTGTTATGCAAAGTACGTTTTGGTTCGAAGCAGGGTAAACATAGTCTGACTATCAACAGACAAATACTCGGAGGGATACCCAGGCGCAAGATATTATGGCGGAAACGAATTTATCGACCAGGCAGAGCTTCTATGCCAATCGCGTGCCTTGCAGACGTTTGGAGTTAAGGATTCAGAATGGGGTGTTAACGTTCAACGTACATTCCCAAACTCTTCCCTCCCGTGTTGATCTGGACTAATTGCCATAGCTCTGTCCGGATCTCCTGCGAACCTCTACACATACTCCGCTCTCCTCAACACACATGACCGGATAATGGGCTTGGACTTACCGCACGGCGGACATCTCTCTCATGGATACCAAACCCCTACCAAGAAGATCTCAGCCATTTCTAAATACTTCGAAACCGTCCCCTACCGTCTGGACGAATCCACAGGTCTCATTGACTACACCAAGTTGGAGGAACTAGCCACCCTATACAGACCGAAGATTATCATCGCTGGTACATCTGCATACAGTAGACTTATTGAGTATGACCGTATGCGGGATATTGCCGACAAGGTTGGCGCATACTTATTGGCCGATATGGCCCATATCTCAGGTCTGGTAGCAGCCAAGGTCGTCCCATCTCCGTTCGAATACGCTGATGTCGTTACAACAACCACCCACAAGTCCCTCCGCGGCCCCAGGGGTGCAATGATCTTCTTCAGAAGAGGAGTGCGACGGGTCAATCCTAAGACCAAGGCACAAGAGATGTGGAATCTGGAGGACCCAATTAATGCTTCCGTATTTCCGGGACATCAAGGTGGGCCTCACAATCATACTATTACAGCGCTGGCAGTAGCTCTCAAACAAGCCCAAAGCCCCGAATTTAGAGCCTACCAGGAAACCGTCCTCCGTAACGCTCAAGCATTTGCCAAGCGCCTCGGCGATTCTAAAGACAAGGGCGGACTCGGCTACTCTATTGTCTCAGGTGGTACCGACAACCACCTAGTGCTCGTAGACCTCAAGCCTCAAGGCATAGACGGCGCGCGCGTCGAGCGAGTGCTTGAGCTCGTCGGCGTCGCCTCTAACAAGAACACTGTACCAGGTGACGTCTCCGCGCTCAAGCCGGGTGGCCTCCGTATGGGCACGCCCGCAATGACAACACGGGGGTTCCAGCCTGAGGATTTCGTGAGGGTGGCAGATGTGGTTAATAGAGCTGTGACGATCACGCAGCGGTTGGCCAAGACGGCAAAGGAGGCGGCGGAAGCCAAAGGGAGGAAGAATCCCGGGAGTGCGAAGGCCTTTTTGGAGTATCTTGGTGAGGGGGAGAACGAGAGAGAGATTGTTCAGTTACGGAGCGAGGTTGAGGAGTGGGTTGCGACCTTCTCGTTACCGTGGGAGAGCGATAGGTAGGTATAATATGACGGGTCAAATAACTCGAATGGATTTGGCGTTTGCTTCTTTTGGTGTCCTTGCAGTTGAATTTTCTGAAAACTTGGTATGATTTTCCCTGATTAAGATTTGCTGTAAGAGCTGCCATTTTGATGTTCATATTGCCTAGCTTTGTTGACATTGCCATGATGTTTTCCGAGTCCTGGCGCAACTCACGCGGGCGACATGGTGCCCTCAAGACCCGCGCGCGTCAACAGCCTACCTAGCATATTCAAGTAAGCAATTAAGGAACAGACCCCGTCATCTCATTGAAATGCATGCACATGATTACCATACAATATACCGGTACATACCTCCCTGCTTGAAAGTCAGTGACTGTCTGTTGTGTCTGTCTGTCTAGCTGATACTCCTCCTACCCCTTCCCTCTCCTCTCCTCTCCTCTCATATCCTCCCCTCCTTATCGAATTTTCTAATTCTATTCGATACCTTTTTTAGAATCGGTCAGTCAATTTTTTTGGGTAGGTTTTTTTTTTTTTTGGAGAGAGGAGAGGGGGGGAGAGCTCCAGAGTTGGAGTGCATTCAGACAAAGCTTGATTAGGCTAGGCCAAGCGTATGTATGTATGGCTTCTTCTGAGACTCGTAGGCTACTGCGCTGGTACGGATGTAGCTGAGCCGACGACCGGTCGAGGGAGTACTGTAAAGTAAGTATCGGAATTTGTAGAGCTGGGGTTAATCATTGACTAATGTAATATTTCAGAATGCTGTTTATGGATGGGTGTGCGTGGTTGGTTGAGTATGTAGCTGTGGGTTTTCGATGGACTAGGTATGTATAGACAGGTATAGGCCTAGGGCTTTACATTTGTTCGCGAGAGGAGAATTGTAACCTACTTTTAAGAGGGGGGTTGTTGGATTTGAGACTTGAGGCTATCAGATAGGTGGCGGCGAGGTGGGTGGGGTGGTGACGAATCGGCCAGGATTGCATCGATGCCTTGCAGAAGATGACTATTGTAAATTGAGAAAGAGACACCTTTTTTTTTTTCTTTTTTTTTTCCCCAAATCCGCAGGTGTTTCGAGTATCGTGCTATTTTATCTAGATAGCATTGAAGCTCTTGCTCTTTCACAGCTATGTGGTACGGCATGGGCGAGCTGTCATATCGCTAAAATGCCTACGCTATGTATATACATGCCCTCCTCCTCCCTCCGACCGCCAGTCGTCTGGCTAGTGATAGCGCTCGCTAAGAAGGGAAAGAAGGAAAGAAAAAAGTGCTCAGAGCCGTCAAGCCTGAGAGATTCAACCTGAAACTGGGAATGTAAACTTACCGATCGGTCTCTTATCTTGCTGTTTTTGTGTTTTCGTGCGTGTTTTTGGCTTTTCTAGGCTCCTTTTTTTTTTTTTTTTTTTTTTTTTCGTTACTCGCTTAGTTCTGTTCAGTTTTTTTTGTTTTCTTGCTTTTGATCGAAGGGAAGGGAAGGGAAGGGGGCAAGGGAGGGGTGAACCTATAACCAAAGAATATGAAAGGAGAGTAGAGGAAGCTTAAGAGACATTTTTTTTTTCCTTTTTCTCCGTGACGATAGCTGGGAGTTCGGAAAGCGCTATTGCACGAGTTGATCTGTGTATATTTATCATTTGTCAGTAGATGTTTTAAATTAGGAGAGGGCGAAGAGCTCCCTGGAGTCTGGGATGGGCTTGACGGCTCTGCTATAGAGGATTTTTTCTTCTTCTTGGTTATCTTGTTTTGAATTATTGGATTAGATATTGATAGATGGATGAGGATAGAAAAAGAGGAGACAAAGGAGGCAGGGCCTGAGATAATTCTCGTCTCGCTTAAGGGTTGGTCTTTGTTATATCGGTGTTGATACGCTTTAGTGGTTTGTAGGCCTCGTGGTTTGGCTTCAGCATTATATGTGATTCTGGTGATCTATATCTCACTTCAACTTCTGATCCATGGCCACGCGCCACTTCGGTCCAAACTTTCTCATGGAGTACACCACCCCAAAAGCGCTCAGCCAGCAGATAACTCCGAGACCCGTGAACAACCATCCATCGCCAATCGCGTTGATTATCGGTTCAGCAATGGCACCTCCAACGCAGCTCAAGAAGTTCCTGACGAAGTTGTTCACGGCGACGCCCGAACTACTGCGCTTGGGCATGAATTCAGTGAGCATGGTCGTCGCTATACCGAAGATAAGCATGCTCCCCACGCCAAAGAAGAAGTTGGCTATCATCGGGACTATCCATATGATGCCCTTGTCCGCAGTCCACCCGTACCAGACTAGAGCCCCTGGGAACACGACGGCGGAAATCCAAGCGTTCTCTTTCATCCGATCCTCGGGCTGGAATTCCAGCCTCCCATCGGCGTCGACGCGGCCGGCTGCTCGTGCCTCCCGATGCATGATGTAGTCCATCCATCTACCGCCTGCAAGAGACGCCAAGACAAAACCGAGAGAATTTGGTATGTACAAGAGACCGAGGATGATGACTGAGAAGTTGTAGGGAGACTCCGAGAAGGTCTGCTGGATAGAGATGTTGAGGACGTAAACTGAGCCGAAGGTAATACTCCCGAGATACACCGTAAGTGCAACGGCAGGAAAGCGGAGATATAGTATAACACTTAAGGGATCGATGATGCAGCGCTTGAAGACCGCGGCAGCCTTCTTAGTCTTCATGTGGATGGACTGGCGGGTCGAATCACGTGTGAGCTCTGGTCTTATTGTTGCTCTTTCATCCGTCTCGGGAAGCACCAGCGGTTGTTTCTTCGCCAATGTCTCCGGGAGACAGAACGTCAGCATGATGACTAGCATGCCACCGTATATCGCCTGAAACCACTGCGTACTTCTCCACCCCCAAGCCTGTGAGAGCGCACCGCCAATAATTGGTGCCAGCAATGGACCAAGAAGGGGCCCCAGAAAGAAGAACCCCATGGCTCGACCTCGTTCCCTAACTTCCCAGATGTCTGCAATTGTCCCAGCGCCTACAGCTTGTACTGAAGCTGCGGCGCCACCACCCAGAACTCGCATGACGATCAGCATGCCTATGGAAGTGCTGACTGCCGCACCGATGTTCCAGATGAAGAAAAGCACGAAGGAGGTCAGGTAAATAGAGCGGCGCCCTAGGGTCTCGGAGAATGAGGACCACCACAGGGGAGAGATGGACATGCTGAGCATGTACATGGCGACGGAGAGATTGGTGATTGTGGGCGTGGTATCTAGATCAGTCGCTAGTTCTGGCAGAGCGGCTATCTCAGAGCATCAATAACAATTTTCGGATTTGGAAAGCTGAGCTGTCCATCATGAATGACTCTAATGAGACCCAAACATCAGAGAAGCAAAACGAGTTGACTTACGAAGTATGATAGCGCTACCAATAGGTGCCGCAGCCGCAGCTATAGCAACCTGGAAAGTGATAAACCATTTCGTGCTATTCTTATACTCATACGGCCTTTCCACTTCGGGAACGAGAGTCAATCTGGCTAACAGCCCTCTTCTCTTTGCTCTCGTAACAAGCGTCAATGCTCTTGATCGAGTTGATGAGGCTTTGGATTTTGACCGGCTGTGAGAAGGATCTGAGGTGTTGGGAATAGCTTCTATACTACCCAGCAAGGAAGGTGAATGGGAGGGGATGGATTCCAAGTCTTTTTCTCTCGTCTCCCTGTCTTGGAGGGTGGAGACTCCCGGGTGCTGGATTGGCTCCGCGACATCGTGGCCTTCAGGCTCGGCTCCTTTAGCTGGATCTTGGAAGGCGTGGCCCATTGCTCTTGCGGCTCGAGGTCAAAGGAGTATACGAAAGTATAAATATATCAGACTTTGGGCAACTGGTCGTTGAGATGCGATTGCTGAAGGAAAAGATAGGTAGAAAGCTGATGGACAAGGAATGGCGCGGTCAGGTAGAGATCATCTCTCATCCATGGTCAGACTAGCAGTAGGACTGTTCTGCAGGAGAGGCGAAGAAGACAAGTATTTTATTGCCTCTTTCAGTACCGAGGGACTGAAACAAAAACGAATCAAGGAGCAAACTACTAAGCAGCAACAAACAGACGGAACTCTACTTTGAATAGGTACTATTACTCCCCTATCTTTCAATGCAGAGTTCTCCCAACGGTCCGGACGTCCGCGTGGATAACGGATTACCTTCTGTATCTGGCAGCTCGTCACGAGAACCATGCGGCGAAATGCCCGCAACACAAGTGAGCTGGGTACTAGTACCGGTACCTACGGTACTGTTGTTGTTCTGGCATGAAAAGTGGGTCGGTCCAAGCGACCCACTAAGTACCGGTATAAACGACGGGCATGGGTATGCGCTGCCTATGCATGATGGTACCGTAGAAAACCTTCAAATATTTGCCAGATTCCTGAAAACTTCCAAAATTCCTCGAAACCCGGCTTTAGCACACGCTGTATTCTTGCGAGTAAGAAGACGATAATACCTGCCCCGAGATATATCTCCAAGGTACTACGGCAGGTCATATAGCATCGTCATTCGTCCGAGTGCCACACCAGACCTTGCCCCCACTACGATCCTCCTCATGGAGTCCTTCGAGGATATGCAAAGTCGGCACCGCAGAGAACAGAAGGATCTGCAATCCCGAGTCACACAAAAGAAGAAGAACGCCACGAAAAAGACGCGCAAGGGAGTGAACAGCGAATGCGAGGAGCTAGAACGGCAACTGAAGGACAAGCAAAGCCAGGAACTTGCAGCTTTAAGTGGAGAGTCCGCAGACATCGAAGGCGTGCCCGACCTGGAGGAAGACACTGTGGAGGATATTGTTTCGAAAGATGTAAATGGCATCACGGAGTCTCTGGATAAGGCCACGATTTCGGAACAAGAGCCCTCGGAGGACGGCCAGCCTAAGAAGCGCAATCGCCAAAGAGAGCGGCTAGCTCGGCGGGCGGCTGAACAGCAAGCTGCGATTGAGGAAGCGAAGCGAGAAGCTGCAAATCAGCCAGACGAAAAGGCCGTCGAGAGGAAGAAGATGCAGGATCAATTTACCGCAAAGGGGCTGGTGGAGAAGAGTATCCGGCCCGACGGGCATTGTCTCTTTTCTGCTGTCGCAGATCAGCTATCACAAGTTGGGATTCCGCTGGGATCGGAGAGTGAGGGGGTAAAGGAAGGGGAGCGATATAAGGTCGTGCGGAACGCTGCGGCGGAATATATTGAAGGACACCCAGACGATTTCACGGCATGGTTAGATGAGCCATTGGATAGGTACGTGGAAAAAATCAGGGATACGGCGGAGTGGGGTGGGCATCTGGAGTTGATGGCGCTGGCGAAGACGTACAATGTGGAAATATGCGTGCTTCAGAACGGGGCGCAACAAAATATCGAGCCGGGTACAGAAGGGGGAAAGGGAGCAGAGAAGATTTGGCTGGCATACTATCGGCATGGGTTTGGCTTAGGAGAGCACTACAATTCTCTCCGAAAGCAGCCGTGAATACGATAAGACATACAAAAGTCTCGAATCGAGAACTGAATCTTGGCCTTTCAGCTTGGATGCGTCCACACGCTGACCCAGTCCGTCACTTTGCCTTCCGCATCGTACCCAATCTGATGCGTTCTTTTGGGCTGGAAATGCGCCATTCTCACTAAGCCATTCTTCTTCGGCTCTCCAAGCTTCGACTCCACGAGGTCTCCATCCTCTTCATACTTGAGTTCCTCTCCCGGTCTCGACAAATGAGCCAGGTAAACCTTCGGCGGCAACGCCCAAGGCGGACCCCCAGAAGAAGGCGGTTTGTACGTAGGAAATTCCACGCATACAACTCTGCCCTCGGGAGCTAGGAGCTCAACAAAGCGTTTAGACCAAGCGGGTCTCATCGTTGGCGGGAGAGCAGATAAGAACTACTTCATCAGCTTAAAGACTCCCAGGCTTGGTTGGAAGGAAGAAATAGACAATAAATACCGTGTAATCGTAAATCAGATCAAACTTCCCCTCCCCTTCCACACCCTCCAAAAACGCATCCTCAAAGAAGTCCCCCGCCAACCACGTAACATCCCCCTTCTCCACGCCCTCCCTCGTAGCATACACGTCCTTCCCAGCCACCTCCCCCTCCCACCTCCTCGCCTCCTCCAGCGCGGTGCCGGAAATCTCCAAGCCGTAGGCATCGTACCCAAACGCGCTCAGAAGCAGCACGTCGTACCCCTTTCCACAGCCCGGGACCAACGCTCTCTTCTTCTTCTTCTTCTTCTTCTCCTCCTCCTTCTCCTCCTTCTCCTCCTTCTCCATCTTCGTCATCGTCGTCGTCGTCGCCGTCTTCTTTTCTTGGCTAGTAGACGGCGAAAGGACGAGATCCTGGCGCTCGGCAAGGAGATCTACGAGCGCGGGGTTGGGAAAGCCCTTGTCCCAGGGGCGGAAGCCTGCGGCCCAGAGCTCGTCCCATTTTTGACCGTGGGCGGCTGGGCCAGTTGCGCCGGTGAAGTGGGCGAGGAGGCGGGCGCGGGCGTCGGTTGGCTGGTCGGTAGGGACGAGTGGTGGTGCTGGTGGTGGCGGTGGTGTGCTGGACATATTTTTTGCTCGCTTGCTCGCTTGCTTGCTTGGGTGTGTTGGGCGAGAGTTGGGTTTGTATCGTATGGTATCTGCTGTATGTCTCGTGAGCTGGGTGTTGTTGTCTCGGTCCAAAACTCCGGCACCGGGGTTGTTTGACGAAACCTTATTTAGACCCTACCAACAACAACACCCTTCTGAAACGCATTACCACTTACGCATCCCCCATTGATAATTTGTAGATTTGCATTATAGAAAATACTACTACTCTACTCACTTGTCTTCTCGCCCCATGCCCGACCAGAAATCTTGATTGGAGAAGAGATGCGAATGACGTAGTCTATTCCACAGATGATCGTATGCGGACAATCCCTTTCGAATATAAATTTAGCGACACAACTCATCCTCGTGTTAAAAAAACCAGCTTCCAGAACCCCAGTACAAAGGGCCAGCTATCAGCGCAACTCGACTGCGGTAGGACGGACGAACTTATAGCTTGTTTAGCTCCTTATACGAGGAGAGAAAAAAAAAATAAGGGGCTGGCTTAGCGAAACGACTCATCCTCAGATGAAGAATATCAGCTTCCAGAACTCCAGTGGAAAGACCCAGCTATCAGCGCACCTCGAATGCGATAGTACGGACGAAAGAGTAGCATGTCTAGCTCCTTAAATGACTAGAAAAAAAAGAAGGGGGCTGGCTGGTGGTACTTAAGAATCCAGGGCCTATCCGTAGACACCCGAGCTCAACATCCAAAATTTCGAAATACAAGTTGAGTGAATGAACCCATATACCCGACTATCCGCCGAGAATTTTCCCTTCCGTATAGTATCAGTTAAACGCCAACTTCCTATCAAATCCAATGGCCGAGTCGTCAAGTTCATTCATACTTGACCATTCAGAAGCGCAAGCATTAACTAACGTTGTATAGTGCCCCTTACTGCCATTACTGCCAGACCTCCTCTTCCATATGACTAATCTGATCGCGCCCATTTAGGTTGTTTACATGATGTGAAATTTGAGTTGATCGTGGTGATGTGATGTGATGTGATGTGACTGCGTGAAAACAGCCAGATTCCTCCAATGTTGTGGTACGTACAATTCCTTCCCCTACTTCTGACTTGACGGCTTGGCTTCTTTTTTTTTGTCTTTTTTTTTTCTTTTTCTTTTTTCCTTTTCTGATTCGGCTTTCCGGCTCCATCTTGTAAATGAAATCGCTTGCTTATGCTTTGAATTGAATATGTAAACCTCAGACTCGGAACTACAGATCGCAGAATTTCATCTCTTGAGACTAGCAGCCAGTGACTGAGACAATCCCTGATCTATATATTTCTTATCTATATCTCCCGGGAGTTCCAGTTCATGATAAGTATAGCCATTCGATCTCTCCATTCCAATTGCTCCAGATATTCATTTAGATTTTTCATTATATGCGTACGGTATACTCCGGCTCCTTATTAGATCCCAGCTGAGATTAGAATCATAATGCGAGGTAGGGAAATATGAATGCGATCGATGATTAGATATTTAATTTGAAGCCGGCTTCTGGAAAGTTCCAGCATCGTTGATTATTACGCACAGCGCTTGGTTGGAGCCTGAATATCCTCAGTCCCTTGTACTCATAGCTTCAAAGTCCTTTCCGATCATACTGTGATATAAAAAATTCACCCCGAGGAAGAGGTCGGGTGATAAATAAAGGTGAAGTCACTAGGTAATATTGCTGTGCGGTTGTTGACTTTAAGCGAGCTCCGTGTTTAGAAATTTCCGCACAACACCTCCATAAAAAATATAGTGTGACATGTAGAAAATTGCGATCCGCGAAATCTCTATTGATTTAAACTAGAAGCTCAATGCAGCTTCGGAGAGACAGGCAGTTATTCTGCATCCAATACTACCAAGCTGGCCTCATCTACGCGGCTCGCCCATCCTAAACCCGCAACGGCACCTCCCATACGCCCAACTCCCGCAAGTGCGCCATCTCCCTCACCGTAAGATGCACATCCAATTCCAGCTTCTCCTCACTCTCTCCCTCGCGCTCCATCACCTCGCTCTTCCCCCACGGGTCCCCCCTCAGCTGCATCCTCGCACGGCCCGCGAAGCGGTTCCACCGGCCGTACCACTTGCGGTTGCGCCCGCGGTCGAAGCCCTCAGCCTCCTCCGGGCCGTTGATCAAGCACAGCGTGTCGGCCACGACGGCGTTGTACCCGTTGCAGATCATGCCCGGCATGTGCAGCACGTTGTTGATCTCGATCTTGTAGTAGTGCGACACGCTGTGGACGTCGTCGATCTGCGCGGCCAGCAGCTTCACCGAGCCGATGCCGAGGACGGGTCGGCCGCCGGCCGTGACGCCGCTGAGGGGCGTGTACGTCGCGAAGGAGGAGCGGTCTTTGGCGTAGTGGGTGGTGCCCGTGACGATCAGCCAGTCGTAGCAGCGCGACTTGTCGACGACGTCGAAGGGCTCCTCCGAGTCCTCTTCAGGTATCATGTTGTCGAGGTCGCAGTTCACGTCCTCGGTCCATTTTTCTGCGCCCTCCTCGTCTTCATGCTCGTCGTCGAAGCTATCGTCAGGCTGCTGTTCCGTATCGGCCTCCGCATTTCCGGCCCCCTTGTTATCGTCTTTCACGTCTCCTCTTCTCTCATCACCTCTCTCCCCAGCCAACTTCTCCTCCGCAATCTTCTCGCCGCTCACCTTCTCAGCCTCACCCCCTGCCTTCATACTCTTCATCACCAGAGAAACCTTACTCCCCGCTTTACGCAGCTGTACGGACATGTCAGCCACACATACATACACCCTGCAGCGCCGACACCCACCCACCCACTCACCTGGTAGATCTCTGCAGCTTTCTCCTCAATCTCATCATCCGTCATTATTAGATCATTTATCTTCGCATGATATGCCTGTCCTGTTGTTCAGCAATGAATGCCTCTTTTCCAAAAAAAAAACAAAAACTTTAGTGTAGATAGGTGCTTTCTTACCAGGCTCTGCGCGATGGTCTCCTGCGTAACTGAGCCAGTGTGCAAAGTCTGTGGATCCATTTTGCGATTTGCGAGGTGAATTGTAGCTGTCGGAAAGGCAAAGCAGGGCTGTCAAGAAAGAACGCGTTGTTGTTGCTATTGACTTGAGTAGAGTTGGCCTCGCTTATTTTTATAGAGAGACGCTAGCTAGTGCCTCACCCCTACCACGGAGTGGAATACCAGGTGAATGCGCCAATTCTTGAATCTTTCGGATCTAGAATTTGAGCTCTGCCACCGACGAACGTACTTTGTCTCCGCGGGCCCAAGTCATGTCCATCGAAACTTAGAGTGAAAAGTCAATTGTTTTCATTTTAATTCCCACTTTTTTGCTTTTTTTTTTTTGGCTTGACCTCAATACCTCTTCCCCAAAGAAACTCAAACCTCAGCCTCTCACTCGCCCCCAAATTCCAAACTCACAACAGATGGAACTACTGTATCCTATCCCACCCCTCCTCCCTTCACCTCCATCTCACACCTCGAGCAGCAGCAAGCAAGTTTCACCACCCAAAAGTCCGTGATGTACATACATACCATCCAACCATCCATCCATCCATCCCCTTTCATTCACGATCCAAACTGTTCATTTTTTTTCGTTTCTTCGAGACCGAGGAACAAAGAAGCCCTGCCGTCGTCGCGCTTGCCTTGCGAAACCGAAACCGGTGATTTCATAAGAAGCCTGATGATATGATATTATATAATATAACATAAATATCAACTATATTTATTTACATCTACTATCCGCATAAGAAGAAGAAGAAAAGGGCGAGAAAAGGATCCTATCCATATATTATATATATACAACCAACCCCCTCCCCCCGACACACTTCCAATGGGGGGGGAAAAAAACCTCCAAATCAATCCATCAACAAAAAGCCGCGAGAGAATTCCCCCCCCTTTCCCCCAAAAATAGGCACATGCAAAAGAAAAGAAAGTAGGTCTAAGTTTGGGTATCCGCAAATTCGCAAATTCGCAAATTTCAAGTTTCAAGAAACCCTCTCCTCTTCTCCTCCATCCTCCATCCCAACTCCCTTTCTCCTCCCCTCCCCCCTATCTAACGAAAAACAGCTCGCTCGCTAGCTACCAAGGATATACAAGCAAGGAAATCAGGCTGCAAAAGAAAAAAAAAAAAAGAAAAAAAAAAAGGGTGCCCCCCCCCCCCTCTCCCCCTGCTGCCCGGGGGGCTACGATTCTTTACCTGTACGAGGTGCCCCCTACGAACCTTCAGCTCTTTTTATTTCTTTCTCCTGCGGTAGAAAGAGAGATAAAGAGTCTGAAGAGCCGAAATTGAATCATCGACATGCGACGTCTCCTCGAAGAGATTTTCTTTTACCGGCGATTCCGAACCTCCCTCCTCTTTCTTCT